TCACGTCTCTGTACCTTCCTTCCACCCCCTCCCCTTCTCCTTCCTTGCTTTTTGCCTTTATTTTGTGTTGTCTTGCCGTTAAGACTGTAAGCCCATTGAGAGCAGAGACTGTCTTTTGTCATAGTTGCATCTCAGTACTTAGCACGGTGGAGGGCATCAAGTAGTTGCTTAATGTTTGACTGACCAACTTCAATGAACACATTATTCCCATTTAGCTCCTAAGTCTTCATTCTCATTCACTCCAAAGCTTTGATTCTCCATTCTATTTGCTATCAGACAATAGAGTCCCAAACCAGCAGGGTACAGTGGAAAGATCATTGAATCTGGCATCAAAAGACTTGGGTTCAAATTCTTGCTCTGCCACTCATTGACTAGGTGATTTTGGGCAACTCACCAGTTTCCTCAATCTGTAAAATAGAGGGAGCGGGTTGACTAGGTGACATCTGAGGTCCCTTCCAGTTCAAGAAATACTACCATCTCTGTATTACATTATCAATTGTCACAAGGCTATAACAAATTCTTTTGGGTGAACACGCTAATATTCCCAAGAAGTCAGAGAGCTGAGAATTCATTTAATCAAACAGATTAAAATAACCCACACTAAATGCACTGAGAAAAATGGTAGTTTTTAAGTGGGTGAGTACTAGGTGTGGCAGAGGCAGAAAAGGAGAAAGGAGAGACATGGGGCACTTTTCAGAGGGTCACAGCACAGTAGGCATTGCACAGATAGTTTGGGGTAGCCAGCCACCCATTTACAGGGTTTCACTTCACTACGAATCCAATGGTATGCTCCCAATGAAATCTTTTTCATAGTGAATTCGGTTCAACATTTATTATACATCAAATGCATGAAGCATTAATCCAGGACCTATGGGACATATCAAGTTCATATAAAACAGTCCCTATCATCATGAGTCCAGCAGGTGGTTATAACATAGATAACATTAATACAACATAATTCATATGGGAAAGCAAAGTGCTTCATAAGGTCTCAGGGAGACAAATGGTCATTACTAACTGGTGGTATCTGGGAAGAAAGTGAGGATAGAGTTTGGGCTTTAAAAGATCTTAGGAACTCAATAGATGGAGATGTGAGGAGATAGTATTCCAGGCTAGAAATTACCATAACATAAGACAAGTAGGTTAGAAAATGAAGAGTCTCTCCCCTTTCCAAAACTTCCTCTACACAGCTGTCAAATTAATATTTGAATATTAATTCAATAGAATGTTAATTCAATTAATTCAATATTAATTCAATGAATAATAGAATAATCAAATTCTAACCTTGGGAAAAAAGCTGACACTAGCAAAGTTTTTCTTAAAATTGTAGAGGGGCTGTTGCCCAACTTTGCTCCTTCCATCTCTTTTTCTTGGCTCATGGCTTCTGAAACTACTCTTTTAAAGTCACTCTATAATTCCAATGTTGATATAACAAGACTAAATGAAATTCCCAATGGGGAGATTATAGAAACCAGAGGCAGAAGGGGCAGTTAGGTGGCGTAGTAGAGCTCCGGCCTTGGAATCAAGAGGACCTGAGTTCAAATCCAGCCTCAGACTAGACACTTGCCACTTACTAGCTGTGTGACCCTGAGCAAGTCACTTACCCCAATTACCTAAAAAAAAAAAAGAAACCAGAGGCAGGGAGGGGAAAGCCTTGGGGAACATCCCCATTAAGGTTCTGGGGAAGGATTAGAAGCTAGCAAAGCACACAGAGAAGAAGCAGTTGAGGATGTAGCCAGAAATCGATGTGAGGAGTCTGTGAAGATGAGGGAGGAGACAATATCCACCCACACACAAAAAGGAGTATTCAGGTCTCAAATACTTTATAGGGAGGAAGCAAAGGAGGACAAGGAATGAAAAATGGACTTCTGTATTTGGTGATTAGGAAGTAATAATAGCTAGCATCTTCATAGCGCCTTAAGGTTTGCAAAGTGCTTTACAGAAGCTATCTTATTTGATCTTCACAATGACCCTGGCAGGTAGGTACTTTTATTATCTTCATTTGACAGCCGAGGAAGCTGAGACTGAGAAAGTTAACCACAATCACACAATCAATAAGTGTCTGAGGGAGGATTTGAACTCAGGCCTTCCTAACTCCAAGTCTATCGCTCCATCTGTTATGCCATCTACTCACTGGTGACTTTTGAGAAGGGAGCTTCAGTAGAGTGCTTGGAATAAAAAGCCAGATTGCAAGGCACTGAGGTGGAAGTGAGAAACTGGAGATGTTGGTTCAAAAAGTTGGGCAGTGAAGAGCAGGAGAGAGATGGACGGAGTTGATAGCAGAGGGCAGGCCTTTTTAAGGAGCTAACTCAAGCATGTTTGTTACCAATTGTGAAGAAACTTTATTACTAAGCCTCTATTACCAATTATTCTTTTACTAATATTACTAAGCTTCTAGAAGAGAAGGGTGGTCTGTAGAAACAATCCTCATATCCTCAACCACCCTATCCCCTTTCCTTGCACTCAAATCTGATGGAAGCCAGCATTCCCAAACTCCAGATGGTGAACATCAGAGCATCTGGAAGTTCAGACCCACAAAATAAAGCCACAATTTTGTTCAAGAGAGACATTTAATAGGAACTTCCAAGCACTTGTACTATCAGAAAACATTCTATGTCATTACAAACATACGAATCTATAAAAAATTCCTCCCATATAATGAATATTAACCATAATCCTAAAAATACAAGACACTCAATTATTTCTTGAAATAAGATTACAATTGATCAATAACTGTTCTAGACCCCTTGAGGTCTTCCTGGACATGATGCCTTCCCAAGTCCTAGGAGAGAGGAAAAAAGAGAAGAGAAATCACTCCTCTGCTTCTCTGATCTCCTTTTAGCTACACAGAAGTTGAAAGGACTTTTGGGTTCCCTCAATACAACATCCTTCAGAAGAGCCAGGACATTGAAAAAGGTCAGGCTAACTAGAACAGAAACAAGGTCAAAAGTCAACCCTCTAGCTTCAATTGCAACTATTGCTTCTGGTCAAGTCAGGTCACATGCTCCCAGACATGCACAGTTGATAGGATCCACAGCTGTTCTGCAGCTCCGCCCCAAGAGTAAAGCCATAGTCTTCAGTACTCCTAGAAATACAGCTTTGTTTTCCTTCACAGCAGAAAGCTAATTTCTTAATTCAGTCCACACGTCTCTTTGGGGACCAGAGTCTCAAAGTGAAAGAGCCCTAGGTTGTCCCTAAGTCCCATGAAATGCTGGGGATCACTTGTACTATACTGGCCAAACTATAATAGTTCAATAATTCAAGGCAGCTAGAAGGCATTCCTTGTTAATGATGATATTGCCAAGTATGGTGAAGATAAAGTTTCCTTGCCACATAAGTAGAGGAATAGAATGAAGATGCATGAGACAAGAGATAATTCTTTTTTTTTTCTTTTTTTTTGCCTGTGTAGGGCTTTTTTTTTTAAATACATGGGCAGCTAGAATAGCCAGGACACATCAACAATCCTGTGGGAGGCTAGTGGAGGCAGATGGTTAATGGTATACTTAGAATAGTCTGAGCGCCAGCAGGGCCCTTAGCAGGTACTGGCAGAACGTAAATGAGCAGAGGTCCTCCCCCATCCCCCTCCCAGCCTGGGGAGACTTCTCTAATACCCTAGAGCCCAAGAGGGTGGAGTTGGTTGGAGACATACAACTGGGAGGGGTCAGCTGCTTACACATGGGCCAGGATCCCTCAATGCTGAGGGAGCTGGGAGGAGGGTGTCTAGTCATTCAAAGTCTCTGGCTCAGGAGTGATCTCTTCACTTATTCCTCTGGGGGTGAATCATGCCTGCCTTGGTGGGAAGACTCTGGAGGGAGCTGAAGAGCCACCTGGTAGGTCAGCCCTGTTCAGCTATGAGCCAAGGCCTGGAGGACTTCCCGGATCAAACTGGGCTTGTCCACCAGGCTGTCCATGGAAGCCCAGTGCCTCAGGAAGATAGGGTGGATCAGGCGATGATCCAGGATCTGGGAGCCATTACAGGCCACTGGAAGCATGCACCATAGCAAGAAGACACACTTCCCTGCATAGCAGAAGGGGAACCAGAAAAGGAAGATGTCAGAAGAACTCAGCCAGGCCAAATATGTTATATGCCACCCAGTAGGTTAGCCAGATGGTATCATCTTCTTGGTTGGGGCTTTCAATGGCCTTGATGGAGGCATACACTGGATAGATGAATCCGATGAGATTACAGAGCAGGGAGGCACCATGCCAAATATGAGATAGCAGGCCAGGCAGACAATGGAACCTGTAGCCAGGTAGTACTTTTTGATTCCGGTGATCTCCTCCAGCTTCCCCAGGACATTGATGATAAAGTTTTTCTGCTCCAGGAACCTCTGGAAGTGCTGCCTCAAGCTACCCATGGCTTCCAGGACCAAGGAGGGAGGAAAGGGGGTGGAGGATGACTGGACCCGGGTCTGAGGGATGACCTCCAGAGCTCCTCTGATGCTCTGTAGAAATCCTGGTGGTGTCTCCCTCTCCAGACTCCCAGGACCTCCCCTCCTCCGGTCCCTCCCCTTCCCCCCCTCCTGCCTTGAGGTCCTGCAACTGCTGGGCAAGGGATAATTCTTGAAGTAAGGTTCTAAAGTAGACAAAAAGGAGCAGAACCACAGGAACAAGCAGAAGATTTACACTTTGTAAGGTGTAGGGATAACTACACCTCATATTCCTCCATGATATTAAGGAGGAGAGAAAAAGAGGATAATTCTAAGAATTCTGGATGAATGTAATAAAGGGAATGAGCTCCCTGTAAGATGACCACAATTTCCTCAGTCAACAGTCCAAGATCTGTGCTGTGTTTGGGGAGAGGAGGAAGGGATGAGGAGGGAAGAGAGGTACTTACAGACTAGAGGAGAGAGAAAGAGATTAGAAAGAACTGCCAAAGATCAGACAGGAATCGCCTTATCTACAGGTTCTCCCTTCATTTTGCATTCTCCAATTTTCAGCTAAGTGTGGGTACTGATGGAAATATTTCTGCTATTCATAAGGCTTCATTCCAGCATGACTCTTCTGCAGTGAGCTAAGGCATAGTTGGGTGGAAGGCCACCCCACATTTATTACATTCATAAGGTTTCTTCCCAGCATGAATTCTCTGATGCTGAACAAGATGTATCCTCTGGCGGAAGGCCTTTCCACATACGTTACATTTGTAAGATTTCTCTCCAGTATGAATTTTCTGATGTTCAGTAAGACCTGTCCTCCGTCGGAAGACCTTCCCACATTCATTACACTCAAAAGGTTTCTCAGCAGTATGAAATTTCTGATGCTGATTTAGTTCTGCACTCTGGCAGAAGGCCTTCCCACATTCTTTACATTCATAAGGCTTCTCTCCAGTGTGAATTCTCTGGTGTTGAGCAAGTTGCGTGCTCCAGCGGAAGGCTTTTCCACATTCATTACACTCATGAGGTTTCTCTCCAGTGTGAATTCTCTGGTGTCGAGAAAGACCTGAACTCTGGCGAAAGGCCTTCCCACACTCATTACATTCATAAGGTTTTTCTGCCATCTGAATCTTCTGATATTGGGTGAGTTCAGTATTCTGGAAGAAAGCTTTCTCACATTCATTACATTCAAAAAGGTTCTCTGATGCATGACTTTTCTGATGGAAAATAAGTCCTGTCTTCCAGCGAAAGGTTTTTCCACATTTACTACATTCATAAGGTTTCTCTCCAGTATGAATTCTCTGGTGTTGAGTGAGATGTGTGCTCCGTCGGAAGGTCTTCCCACAATCATTACATAGGTAAGGTTTCTCTCCGGTATGAACTCTCTGATGTTGAGTAAGAGATATGCTCTGGCAGAAGGCCTTACCACACTCATTACATTCATAAGGCTTCTCTCCAGTATGAATTCTCAGATGCCGAGCAAGGTGTGGTTTCTGTCTGAAGGACTTTCCACATTCATTACATATATAAGGTTTCTCTCCAGTATGAATTCTCAGATGTTGAATAAATTCTTTGCTCTTGAGGAATGTCTTCTCACATTCAACACATTGATAATATTTTTCACCAGTCTGAAGACCAAGATTTTTGGCAAGGTCTGAGTTATAACTGGAGTATTTTCCACATTTATTATACTTAGAAAATGTCTTCTTAGAGCCAATTCTATTACACTGACTTAGGTCTGAGTAAAGTTTAAGGTTCTTCCTTTGGGTATAATATTTATAGAGACTCTTTCCTAGAGATGCTCCCTCTTGGGGAAAAAGGACTAGTTCTGCACTGAAGCTTTGTAGAAATTGATTAAATTCATGTTCTTTTCCTTCATTGGGAACTTTCCTTTGGGTGGTTTTTACTTTTCTAGAATGTTCTTTCCCATTAATCTGCTCCCTCACTAACTTTGAGCCACATTCTCCCAACTTAAAGACATGAGGACCATCCTCAGTCAATATTTCCTGGGATGATTTTTCCATAGATATGCTCAAATTTGGAATCAATTCCTTATTTTCAGGCTTTGTCTTCCAATCTGAAAGAAATGAAAAATGTAAATTTTCCTGCCTGCATTAAACCTATTCTCATCTTCTACCTTCCCTATCAAGAAGAAATAATCACCAAATTTTAAGAGGTAGAAACAAATGACAATAATAACAAACAACAGCAACATCCCTTTATATACAGAGGCAATGACATAACGAATAGAGTGCTGGGCTTGGAGGCATCAAGGCCTAGATTCAAATCTCGTCTCTGATACCAACTATGTGACTCCAAAGGATTTATCTGGTAGGACTCAAGTATCATAGGTTACGTGGGGCTACTAGGTGGTGCCATAGTGCACAGAGGGCCAGGCCTGGAGTCAGGAAGACTCATGTTCCTGAGTTCAAATCTGGCCTCAGACACCTACTGGGCAAGTGACTTAACCCTGTTTGCCTCAGTTTCCTTATCTGTGAAATGAACTGGAGAAGGAAATGGCAAACCACTCCAATATCTTTGCCAAGAAAACCCCAAATGGGGTCACAGGGAGTCAAAAACAACTGAAAAATGACTGAACAACAATCACAGGTTGCAGTCTATAAAGGTAAAGGGGAATATTCCACATTGACAAGGTGATCCTTCAATGATTCTTTCACATTCACATGTTTATGGCACCATGTGTATATGTATGTATGTAGGAATTTTTAAAGTTTTCAGTTATAGATCAGCAAGATAGAATAACAGTTGTGTTTTTTTAACATAAAGTCCTTACCCCAACAATCCCAAAAGAAGAAGAAAACATGAAATCTATAGTAAACAAAACTGAAGCAACAAGAGAAGGCAAAAACCTTTCCACTAAAGGAAATGCTTTCTGAAATAATGGCAGAGCTGAACTACATAAAGCTCTCACCCCTACTCCACCCAGTCAGAATCCATCCAGAAGAAGCCAGCCCAAACAACCTGATATGATTGTGTTTCAAGCTCTGGCTTTGGTGAACTCTGCCTGCTCTGCTCATGGAAGGATCTCAGCCTTTTAAACTTCAATCCCAAGATGTGGAACTACTAACCTTGCTCAGTCACAAAACAGGAAGAAGATGCAAACCTTAAAGGAAGGGCCAAGTAGGAAGCTCAGCAAAGCCGAGCTAGCTAGAGGAGAAGGGACTTGCTAGATTGAGGAAAGGGGATTACAATAAGCCTAGCTGTGGTCAGTTCTTGCTTAGTGGAATTTACAAAGGATGAAAGTTAGTTGGGCCCTACACCCATCCCCCTCAAAAAAAAAAGCTGGAGCTGCCTAGGCTCAGGGTGTTATGTAGAAGAAAACATACCTGCCAGAGTGGTAGAAGGGCAAGGGAAGCCCAACATAAACTATGCAAGACAAAAAAACTGTATATGATAAACTCAGATCCTAAGCAGATAAAAACAAACAGTCTAAAAGGCAAAATTTTTTAAAAAGGATTTTTTAAAAAGTCACAACACAGCAAATATTACTATATAAAGAAGAATAAATCTAAAACAAAAAGGGAAGTATTAAAATAAATTCTGCAGATTCTCCAGAGATCTGGGACATATAGTAAGACATTCCAGGATAGCTCAAAAGTGAAGTAAAACTTTAAAAGAAAGTATTAAGATTGGAGTTTTAGGTTGGTTTTTTTTTTTAGGTGGGAAATTAGGTGGGAAATCAAGAGCTCTCAAGGAGAAAAAAAAATAAGACGGAGTAAATAATTTAGAACATGACTGGGAATCTCTCTAAACTACTAGAGGCTATGAAAAAAAAAAGACTGACAGATCTGGAAATGAAAAACACAGAAACAAAAGAACATCTGTCAGAAGAAAAGCAAAAGACAAGCCAAGATGGTGGGGTAAGAAGTAAGTCACTTTCACCCTCCCTTCTTGACCTCTGAAAGCTCAGAAAACATCAACCCAGGAAAAACTCTGGAATAGCTAAGCCAGCAGAAAGACAGGGCACAGCAGTCTTATGCCCCAGGAAGCTTGGGAGATTAACGGGAAAGGCCCCTCTTGCTCTGGGGGAGGGGGAACAGTACAGCAAGGGTGTTGTCCCAGCAAACCAGCAGCAAGCCCCACCTCAGCATACCAGCAGGAGATCTGGAGACCTGGGGTGGTGGAGCAGGCAAGTGCAGGGACCATGCCCCGCCCCTGCCCTGCCCCAGTGCCTCAGTACAGGCAAGGGAACTGGTAGACACCAGCTCAGAAAACCACCATGTGTGACAGCGTTCTCCAGCAGCCATATCACCTGGAGCCTCAGCGCAACTCTGGAAAGCACAACTCTAGGAGGCAAAGCTCCAGGCTGACAGACATCCCCCAGCATGAAACACCTGTATGCAAGGCCTGGGTGAGCAGGAGCCAAACGTAGTGCAAGGCCCAGGTGAGCAGGGGTCCCCCAGGGGCCAGACCCCCACACACACCCCAAGAGCTCCAGTGCTGTTGACCCCAGACCAGCACCAGGTAAGCTGCTAAAACCCCACAGCCTCCAACTGCCAGCACCTGAGAACTCGGCACACAAAGCCAGTGACCAGGTCCTGGGCTTCCAGGACAAGAAGCTTGGGTAAGTGCCCCTTGCGCTCCAGCAGGAGAGCTCAACTTAAAAAAGAAAAAGTCAAGAAACAGATAAACACTATGAGCGAAAAGCAGAAACAGACAATGACCTTAGATTCTTATTATGGGAACAGGGAGGATCAAGGCACAAATTCAGAAGAGGACAACATTGTCAACATACCCACATCTGAAACCTCAGCGGGGAATATGAACTGGTCCCAAGCCCAAAAAGCCTTCTTGGAAGACCTCAAGAAGGATTTAAAACAAGTCCTTAAAAAATACAATTGGCCAAATGGAAATAAAAAGTATATTGAAGAAAATAACTCCTTAAAAAGTAAAACAGGCCAAATGGAAAAGGAGACACAAAAACTCAGTGAAGAGAAGAATGCCTTAAAAAGTAAAACAGGCCAAATGGAAAAGGAGACACAAAAACTCAGTGAAGAGAAGAACGCCTTAAAAAGTAAAACAGGCCAAATGGCAAAGGAGGTACAAAATCTAATAGAAGAAAATAATTCCTTAAAAATTAGAATTGGGCAAATGGAAGCTAATGACTCTATGAGAGATCAAGAATCAGTCAAACAGAAACAAAAAAATGAAAAAATAGAAGAAAACATAAAATACCTCATTGGTAAAGCAACTGACCTGGAAAATAGAGCCAGGTGAGACAATTTAAAAATTACTGGTCTACCAGAAAAGCAAAAGACAACTCTGAAATAACATGAATTGCATATGAGGTACAAATGACCCTAAAGACAAGATGTGCAGGGATCATTTAAGTATCATGGATCACCTAGAAAAATATAAAGAAATTTAAAGCCTTGGATACCAAACTACAGGGAATAATACAAGAAAATTTCCCAGAAGTTTTAGAAATAGACTTTAAGGTAATGACTGATAAAATCTACATATCTATGACAGAGAAAATCCTAAGCTTGAAACTTCAGTGCAAACAGTGGTTAAATTTCTGAATGGCTATGCCAAGGACAAAGTTTTGCAAGCTTCTGTTATCAAAGAAAGTCATTTCAAATACTATAGGATTATGCTGTGTCTATGAGAAACTAAGGGAGAGACTGAAAAAGGATGATTCAAAAGGCAAGGTAATCGGGCTACAATTACAAAATTCCACGTCCTGAAAAGTGGAACCCAATCATCAGTGAAACCAATGGACCTTCTCAACAGAAGAGGAGCATGTGGGTCACTCCCGAGCGGATTGTGTGAGCTGGGAATATCTTAAACAGAAAGGTTTATAGGTACAATTATGAAGAAAAGTATGAACAATGAAAATAGGTTTTTTCATGTTTAAGGGGCAAAGCAAAGTCATCCTTTCCTTATAAAAATAAATTATATTGAGAGTCAAGTCAGTCAGTCAACTGGGTATTACTGAGTGCCTACATGCCAGGCACTGTGATAAATGCTAAGAACAAAACAAAACAGTCACCACTAGCCTGGAGCTCACAGTCTAATGGGGAAGACAACACACAAACCACCAGGTACAAATAAGATATTCAGGATAAGGGGGGGGGCGGATATCAGAGGGAAGTCACTATGATTAAGGAGGAAAGGCTTCTTGAAGAAGTAACATAAAGATGGATTATCAAATAACCAAAGGATCTAGGTGATTAAAGATCTCAGAGGAACTAAAATACTCAGGAAAAAGCAATGAATTAACATTCCTTGGACTAAAACTCACACTCCTATACAAATGAATCACAGGATATCAAGAAAGTGGGGAGAGGGGAGCCAAGAGGAAGTAGAGAGCAAAAGATGACCTCTCGCCTGGCCTGGACAGGAGTAGAGAAGAGAAAGCAACTTCTTCACTCTCTTGACAAGAATGGGGGACTGTGAGAGAGCAGGGAGGGAGTGGAGGAACTGGGATGGAAGAGGGGGGCATTACTGGGAGGTCAATCTGTTCCTAGAAAGGAAAACAAAGGCATGCTATTGAAGCAGATTCTCCTTGGGAGGGAGTGTCAGGGGTCTCAGAATGGACACCTTGAGGAGGCCACCTCCTCTGACCAAGGGCTGAGACTTGCACGACTGCATCTCACTCCAGAAGAGGGGAGCATGAACTCCTGTGGGTGTCTAGCATCAAAAGAGGCAGGGTGACAGAGAACCAGAGAAAGGATATATACAGGAAGGTGGGAGAGAAGCAGGAAGAATTCTAGGCCCAATTCTAGGTCACAGATCCAGGGCAGATTGTGGTAGGGGACCTGCCCCCGTCCAGGGAGTTTGTAATTTCTAAAAAGAAATGCATGTAAAGACAGAAAATATAAAAGAATGGATCTACAGACTTAACGAGAAGTGGTCATGGTAAGGGGTGAGAGGATGGAAGGGACCCCATCTTTCATTAAACAGAGGTACTCTCACCACACCACACCACCTCCTTCATGAAATGATCTTTTGAGGAGTGAAGCAAAGGAGGAGAAAGGCCCATATCATAGGCCCTATATAAACATTAGCTATAATTAATAGTAGTAGTAGTAGCAGTGGTAATAGTAGTGGTAGACAGTTAAGTGACATAGATCACTGAATTTGGAATCAGAAAGACCTGAGTTTAAATCCTGCCTGAGAAACATGTTCATTGTTGTTCAGTTCTTTCACTCATGTTGACTCTTTGTGAAGCTTTTTTGGGGTTTTCCTGACAAAGGGAAGTAGAAAAAAGATATTCCTCACTGAGTGCACCTCTCCTCTAAGTCTGGAGAGACAATGAAGGGGAGAGCCGTCCGGAAAGTCATTTGCTCTGGTGATGATGAAGACATCTGTTCCTGTAGGCCTCACCTCATTCTTTGCCTCAGGCCTGCAGAGTCTTTGGAGAGCTCTCGGCAGGCCCAGTATTCTCAGTGTGCTTCCCCTCTGTGGCCAGGTGACCTTTCGTGCATCTGGTTTTCACTCCCTCACTCACCTGGACAGGTGCTCCTGAGGACGTCTCCCTCTGGTGTCCAGCGTGCTTCCCCACCCTCCAACAGGTAGACTGCCTCTGGTCTGGAACCTTCTAGTCCTGCTCATTGGAATGGGTTGGGGTGAGAGAACTACATCGGAATTCAATTTCTGTCCCTTCTCTCTCTGGGGAAAGTAGAAATGCTACCTGTCCTAGAGGGTGGTAGAAAACGCTGCTCAGGAGGTGCCCTGGGTTATGCGCTCTTTGGAAGCAGGAGGCAAAGGGTCAGGGTCAGGATCTGAGCTCAGAAGAACATCAGCTCACGGGACCCACGCCCTGGGAAAAGAACAGGAACCTTGACTGCCTTCAGGCATCTACCTGGGACTTTGGGAGAATCTTTGGGCAGAGAGAGGCATGACGTCAGGGAAGGAAACCCAAGGTGTCTGACCTGGCAGCATGGCGCACAAGTGCTCTGTCTACTGACCGCACAGGACGAGAACTCCCTGGTCTCTGCTGGCCAAACAGTGATAGCTCAACACGTGACACCCCCCAGCCCATACTAAGGAAGGAAGCAAAAACTCTCTAAAGTCCCAAGAGGAAGCCATCCTTACCCAGGTAGACCAGGTTCCTGTAGTTCTCCAGCATCACGTCCCAGTACAGCCTCTTCTGAGAAGGGTCCAGGTGCCGCCACTCCTCCGGGGTGAAGTCCACAGCCACGTCCTTGAAGGTCACCAATGCCTGAAACAGCAAATATGCTCCTGCCCACCCAGGGACCACCCCTCATGTGGACACGGCCAGAGGCCTGGAGTTGGCATAAATCCTAGGGGGTGGAACTCACAGGGTCTTGGCCTCAGTGTGTGCCAAGTCATAGAGTTATAGAGTGCCTACTGTGTGCCCCTCAGTTTGAACTTGACCTGAGGCTCATCACAACGCCTGCAGCTGCTCAGACTAATATGGCATTCCTTGCCTTATGGTGGATTTCCCTGCAATAACCCTGTCTGGAGGTCCAGATCTACAAGTTTCACAGAGGAGAAAATGGAACTTCCCCTGTGGGGTTGCCTTCTGCCACCTCCACCCAAGCTAAGGGTGTCTTCTGTCCTTTTTATGTTCTCTTCTGTTGGAAGAATGGGAGCCTCGCACTCAGTACAATGCCTGGCACATAGGAGGAGCCTCATACATGCCTGCTCTCTAACTGATGGGTCTAAGTTAACAGGACTTCCAGAGTCACACTGGGTCAGGACCAGGGGCTGTACAGCTTTAGTGTGAAGCCCCCTCAGGACAGGGCCTCCAAAGGCAGTGCAGTCTAGTTCTGGCCACCTAGAATTAATTGTTGGAACATTCCTCCTCACCCCACTCTTAATCTGCCTGTCCTCACATCCCCACCCCCACCCCACTGCTCCTCATTCTACCCCTTGGGGACAAAGTAGATGGTCCCTGAGCTCCAGGAGCCCCCTCTTTTTTTGGGGCAACCAGCCACGCTCTAGTCATTCAGCCAGTTTCCAACACCACCCAATTGTGCTCTCGCCGACCTGCAGCCCTCTAACCAACCCACAAGAATTGCCTAAGAGATTCTGTCAAAAGTTGGCAAAAGTCTAAAGAGACCGTGTCTAGGGTACGCTCCCGAAAGCCTGACTAGGTTGCCTGTTGACGGAATGGATGGGTATTGTAGGATTACTGGACTTGAAATCAGAAGGACCTGCGTTCAGATTCTGCCTCCGATACCTACTAAATGGGGAACCCCAGGCAAATCGCTTAACTTCTCTCAGGCTCAGGTTTCCAATCTGTAAAATGGAGATGGTAACAGGACCCATTCCCTTGGTAGGATCAAGTGAGCTAAGGTGTACAAAAGGCTTTGCAAACCTTGAAGGGTAACAGAAATATAAGCCACTCTCACTGACCCCTCCCCTCCCTTTCTAACTGCTCACAAAGCTTCCTTTTCAGAAGGTGGCCTAGAATTTTGCTGACCAGAAGTCACCCTGACCCACCATCTCCTCCAGGAAGCATAACCAAGGCAGACACATCCTTCAAGCCACCAAATCTCTATGCTGGAAGGAACCCAGCAGTGTCCAATTCATTCTGTAACCTTTCTCCCACACATCTCCAGAGGCCAGTCAGCTTCTGCTCGCTCGCCTGTAAATGGGAATGTGCTCCCTCCTGGGATGGGCCCATTCTGGAAGGAATCATCACTGGCCCAAGTCAGTCCTTTCTGCCCTTGGGGGACCTGCTTCTCATAGCCCCTCATTCTGCCCTCTGGGGACAAGCAGAACAAGCCCAGCCCCTCTTCCAGGCAAAAGTCCTTCTAATACTGGAACACAGCAACCAAGTCTTCCCCAAGCCTTCTCTTCTCCAGGACAAATGCCCTTGAACCAATCTTTAAGTGGCATGAAGGCCATCTAGTTTCATGCCTCTAGATACTCTCCAGCTTATTAATGTTCTTCCTAAAATGTGACACCTCGAATTAAACACATAATACTGGGGCCCAGCAACATTATCGCCTAACCTAGTCCTGGACACTATGCATCTGAACTTAAGACAATATGAGCTTGTTGGCATGCCTCCTAACAATGCAGACTGACGCTGGGTTTACAGACCTCCAAATCTTGGGCTCCCTTTCAGACTCCCTGAAACACAGGGATAACCCTTCCACATTGCAGAGGTTAAGAGGCGCAATGCCCCTGTGATCTGAAAAATCCATGTAAATTTTTTTAGCCCTTCCTTTGTACCAGAGAAGAAATGTGAATTCTTTCTTTTTCTTTCACGGGGTGTTTACAGTATTAAAATATGTGTGTATATATATATATATATATATGTATATATTGATATTATACAATACTATACGTATATTTTGTGCATTTGTGCGTTTCTAAACTTTTTATGTGTTGTCTACCAGCCTTCATGTATCGTCTACAGTTTCTGCAAAACTCCCAAAAAAATCCCACTTAATTTCTTATGCCAACCTGCAATATATCAAAACCAGGATGGGGAAAGTCACGATGCAAAGGCCTCATTATCTCCCTCTCCATCTTATGCTCATTAGATTGGGCTTCTGAATCCCCAAGAAAAGTTATCCTATGGCCAATATTCAAACAAGCTATTAGGATCCTATCCTTCCCAGTTTTGTGACACCTGAAACTTTGATCAATGTGTTATCCGGGCCTTGATCCATGCCACTGATAAACATTTTCAGTAGATGCCTGAGGCCCTCCAGAAAAGATCACCTCCCAAGCTGACCCTGGCTGCTCTTCGGGTCTGGCCAGCCAAGCAAATCCACCTAAGCAGACTACAGTTTTGCCCAGGTTTTTCTCATCAGGTCCAACTTTCTTTCCATCACAGTAGGTTGTCCTATGCTACGCACAGGACAGCAGCCTTCCCTCCATCCCCTTCTCCCTCATTTCCCTGGCTTAACCTTGAGACCCTTCGTGTGCATCCAGGTCTCATCCTGATTCCTCATTCAGGTGCCTTAGTCCCTGATGTGCCGCCTGGCTCACTGCAGGCACTTAATGAATGCTTGTTGAATGAATGGCCTTTGCATTAAAAGGCACATCCTCCTTTCCCCACTATTTTTAGTACAGGGTGGAAAACCTTTGGCCTCTAGGCCACATCCAAACTTCACAGAACAAATCCCCTTAATAAAAGGAATTGTTCTGTAAAACTGGGACTCGGCCAAAAGGCCACACCTGAGGACCCAGGAGGGCACATGTGGCCTAGAGGCCACCCCTGCCTTAGCAGCCTCAAAAGGAGAAAAGATTGGAGCAGCTTGATTTGGAATCTGAGGAACTGAGTTCAAATCCTGCCTCGTGTGTGTGTGTGTGTGTGTGTGTGTGTGTGTGTGTGTGTGTGTGAAGGTGTTTCTCTCCTGTGGGCCTCAGTTTCCTCTTCTATAAAATGAAGAAGTTATACCAGATCATCTCTACACTATCCTCCAGGTCTCCATCTATGAGCTTATGATGTCCTGAAGTTCTTGAATTACAGGATGTGGAAAAGAGGTATGCCCAAAGCCCAGTCAAAATACTGTACCAAAAAAGGAAACCCCACTCACCTGAGGAACCCTGGCTGTCAGGAGTACACGGACCATTCTGTCCCCTTCAATGCTCTCACCTTATTGGGAAGGGATGGAGTCCTCAGAAGGCAGAGCTGGGAAAGGAAGGGAAACCATGAGAGAAATGGTCCTGCCTGTCAGCTCCCAATATTCACAGCCCAGAAATTCCCACCCCACCCTCTGTATCCCTGAACCCCCTAAACATACATACCTTTGGAGATAAAGATGAGAGAGAGAACGTATGAGCTTTTTCCCAATATCCAACTTAACTCAAGTCTTTATTTGGAACCTACTATGTGCAAGGTTTTTTCAAAAAGTTTAGTTGAAAACGGAAGGACAGATAGAGGATGATATCCTGATATCAGGAATGGTAGTAGGCTCTAATGAGGGTTTTTTTTTTAAAGTAGAAGGGAGACTTGACTATCTGTAGGCCAAGGATGGATCCAGTAGATAGGGAGTGGATAGAGAGTTGGAAGAGGTGGAGGGGACAAACTTCTAGGGAAGATAAGAGTGAATGGGATCAAGGGTACATGTAAAAGAGTTGGCCTTGACGAGAAGAAGGACCACTCTTTCATCAGAAGCTAGAGTGAAGGAGGAGATAGCAGGCAATGATATCATGGGGTTGTGACAAGAGAAAGAGCTTGTATCAGATATAATATCCTCAAATAAGAAGGTGATGGGAAGGGATCATGTATGGGGCTGGAAGAAAGAAAAGTTTGTTACAGCCCCTATTACAAATTATGGAATAACAGAAGGATTACCCTGATGCAGAGAGGACACAGATGAAATTAGAGTATACGGATCCGTAGTGGAACCAATGAGTGTGATTTTGTGAGTTCCTTCAACTCCAATGAAACACATCAGTAGGAGAGGAGTAGGAGGGTGAGGATTGGTCAAGGGGCTCCAGAGCAGAGGACAGCTGAACTGTGTCACTAAGGGGTCCAAATGGGGAAGGGAGGAGAGCATGGCCAGAGCAAGGGAGGGGTGATGGCTTGCTCACCTCCCGTCCTGACAGGATGAAAGAACTGAGAGACAGAAGTACTGAATGGCACGGTGAAACAAATAACAAACAAGTTTACAAAGAGTAAAGGATATGTAGAAATGGAATGATGGAAGATTATGACCCAGTAAGGAATTTCAGAATTTGCATGGGGGAGTGGAACATTTCTGGGTGATGGCAAGATCAGAGGTCTAACTATTTCGGGGCAACTAGGTGGTGCAGTGGATAGAGCACCGGCCCTGAAGTCAGGAAGACCTGAGTTCAAATCTGGCCTTAGACCAAACACTTGACGCTTACTAGCTGTGTGACCTTGGGCAAGTCACTTAACCCCAACTGCCTTTTAAAAAATCAAACAAACAGAGGTATAACTATTCCTGTGTGGAGCTGGGTGGAAAAACCGTTAATCATAAAAACAATAGCTAGCATTTACAGAGTGGTTTAAGTAATGAGTGCAATGCACTTTACCACATCATTTTATTTAATCTTCACAACTCTGAGAGGTCGGTGCTATTAACACCCCCATTCTGTACATGATGAAACTGAGTCTGAGATAAGTTTAAGAGACTGGCTCAGTATTACAAGTTAGCAAATGGCTCAGGTAAGACTTGAACTCAGGTCTTCCTGACTGCAAGTGCAGCACCCAATCCACAGAACCACCTGAACTGAATCAGTTGAGGACCTGGGGAGAGAAGGCATTTGTGCAAGCAAAAATGGATGCTGAAGTCTTTGAAAATGAGGGAAATAACTGGGGTGGAAAGGATCAAGATGACCACTAACTGAAGTCCGAGAAAACGGGAAGAAAGCTCCTATGTCCCAGGAGTGTTGATCCAATGAGGTAACCTCTCCAGCATTTTGCAGTCTTTAAGGCACTACAAAAATGCTAGCCAATGCGGCCTTTGGGAGGGGGTCAGTAAACAACAGCCGTCTGAATCGGCTGTATATCGGGAAAGCCCAAACTTCAAAGAAGGAAAGGTAGGTGAGTGACGGTGTTAGAGAAAGAGTCTGGACGCGGTGGGGGCGAAGAAGGACTATCCCGCCTCTCCCACGGGGATCAGCTGGGGAAAGCACAGCCAGTGCTCCAAGGGCCGGACCTCTGACTTCCTCCAGGTGAGGTCAGCAGCACAGAACGGGGAATGGAGAAGTGGGATCCAGGGCATCAGTTCGGGTTCGGGTTCGACAAGGTTTGCACAGCAATTAGACAAGCGGAAAAGCAATCTAGGGGAAAGAGCAGTGTATACTTGACCTCGGTAAGCAACTATTGGGTCCCTTCCCCTCCCCTCCTGGGCCTGTGTATACACACTTATCAATACTGCTGCTGGGGGCCAAGCGCTCGAACTTCCTCTAGGAAGAGACTTCTGAGAGGCGCAGTCAATAGAAGACCATCCTTGAGAAAGCGCTGACAGGGAGGAGGGGGAGGAGGAGGAGTGCTTTGTCACCTAGCTGGGGGAGGTGAGGACGGAATCCACCGAAGCCCGCCTGTGCGTACAAGGCCAGTGTCCCGGATGACAGTGTGCGGGGTGGGGGAGGAAGGGGCAGGAGAACACGGTCTTCTAAATGTCAAAAAGAGCATCTTGTTCACGGAGTCCCGGAGAGGGGGGGGGGGTTACATGGTCACATGGTCAGATCTGCGTTTTAGGCAAATCGCTTTAGAGGCTGACCCCGAGGCAGGCAGACCCACAGTGGCCACTACAGCTGTCCAGGCCCGAGGGGATGAAGGCCCACACTACGACTGGGGCGCCGGTCCGGGGTCAGCGGCAAAGCCGAACTCGATCTCGAGGTTCCAGCCTCAAAGATCCGCGAGGGAGGGGCGGGAGAAAGGGAAACGAGGTGAGACCGCAGTTTTGCCTAATTTGGGCTCGCGTCTAGTCCCGCCCACTGTCAGACCAATGAACGTGTAAACTCGTAGAGCAGGGATGATGATTGGTCTGAGGCTGAAAACATGGCGCTCGAGGCTCCGCCCCCTCCCCCCCTTCCCCTGGGGTCTTGGGTTTTACCTTGCTCGCTTTCTGGAAGGTGCCGTGGCCTCTCCCACCCCTCCCCCACCCGCCTCGGCCCAGAATCGGGGCGGTCCTGAGGCCAGAGCGGGCTGGGAGCCGCGAGAAGACGCTGCAGATCCCGAAGAGGCGACTTCCGGCGCAAGAGGCGCAGAGAAAAGGAGATCACGTGGGAAGCGGCGCCTCCTGGAGCCGCGAGGGCCTCTGGGAAACGTAGTTTAAAGGCTTGTGGCAATTAGTACGCATGCGTTGGTGCGCCGACTCCGCAGCTGGTCTAGGTTCCAGGAGTTCTCTCACTTCGCCCCCTCCATCCCATCCCGACAGTCCACTGCCCACCGCCTCAAAGCGAGAGGAGATGGGGTTATTGAGGCTACCTGGGGCGTCCCCCCGCCCCCAGGGTCGTGGTCATCCTTCCGGGCTGCCCCGGGCCGGCCCCTTGGGGGTTGGGCTGGCCCTGGGCTCCCGCTTTCCCAGTCGGGGTGGGGGTGGGGCGTCCAGAAGGGCTGCGGTCGGAGTGATTTTGTCACTGGAGTTATTTTAATCGCACGCCATTTCTTTTTATTGTCTTTGTACTGCTTCTGACCTTTGTTCTGACAAGCGGGTGGTCTATATAGACAGCTGATCCAGAACAGCTCGTTTCCTGTCTTTGAAAATGAATATTTTTTGTGACATTATTTCTCACCATGCTTAGAGCCGGCTCTTTTCTTGAAGTATTGACAAAATACAGACACAAAATTTCTTTCTTGCATTCAAATCTTTGACCTTCTTTGCTCCTCATTCACGATGCCTATTTTCCAACATATTTCCTGGCAGAGTCCCAGCCCAGCCCTCCCTCACGAATGGTTCTTGAGAGTCATGTCAGCGGAATAGGAAGCTCTGGCAGGGTCTGTCCCGCTGGAAGGGATCTGACTTTGGGGTTGGCAGCCGGCTGAGTCTGCTTTCCAGAGACCAGCCCGAGAACACTGAAGTTTACTGCTAGCGAGCTGGCCATTTGGTGATGAATCTATTATTGCCCATTTGGGCAGTGTCAGTTTTATCAAATTGGTTTGGCTTACCCAGGAGCAATGAATATTTTCCCAATTATTTATATTTGGATTTGTATAAAGAATGTTTGGAATTATATTTATATAGTTCTTGTGCATGACTTGGTAGGTAGACTCCCACATATTTCATACTGTTTAGAGTTATTTAAAATAGGTTATTTAAAGCTTCCCTACTGGATTTTGTTGATAATGTACAGAAATGATGATGATGATATGTGGGTTTATTTTATATTCTGCAACTTGCCTGAAGTTGCTTCAACTAGCTTTTTAGTTAGCTTCCTGAGGTTCTTGGAGTAAACCATCATGCCATCTTGTTTCTTCTTTGCCCATGCTTATTTCTTCAATTTCTTTTTCTTATTGCTATAGCTAACATTTCTAAAACAATATTGAATAGGACTGGATGATGGACATCCTTATGCTGCCCCTTATTTTAATAGAAAGGCCTCTAGCTTATGCTTTCATTATAGATAATGCTAGCTCTTGGATTTAGATCATCATTTTAAGGAAAGTTCCCATTTATTCTTATGCTTTCTAGTGGGTTTTTTTAAGCAAGAATGGGTGTTGCATCTTACTTTCTGCATCAATATCATTATAGCATTAATATTTTTTTTATTAATATGGTCAATTATATTTCTAGTTTTGCTAGTATTAAACCAGTCTTGCATTTCTGGTATAAATCCAGCCTGCTCACAGTATATAATATTTGTGATGTTGCTGTAGTCTTCTTGATACTTCTTCAACTTTTTACCTTGTTATTCATGAGGGATATTGGTCCATGGTTTTGTTCTGGCTCTCCCTGATTTAGGTATCAAGACCATATTTGTGTCACAGAAGGATGGCCCCTCCTAGAACCTCCATTTATAGAGGGTGTCCTGGTCAGCTGTGTCTCATTCTTCTCCCAGTTGTGTTCTGGCCTTCCTGTACCATGCCTCTCCCCCTAGGCTTCATTCCCAATGGCAAATAATCCCATTATTTAGATGGTTACTTCCTCTTACTTTTCTGGTGTGTTCTTTTTTTAGTTATGGCTGAGTCATGTCCAACTCTAAAATTCTTTGACTTTGTACAGACTCAAAGATGTGTCTTTCTGCATTTCTTGTTGGGCTAACTAAAAACTATACTACTTGCAATGAGGGTCCTTTACTTTCTCTGTAGAAAACGAGCCAAATTGTGATGTTCCCAGGGAAAATCCTGGATTAAGGCATCAGTACATGAGAGGTATTTATTAAAATATTTCCCTCCTTGCTCCCATCCTCACCACCTTCACAGGCATCTCTCTTTCCTTACCCCTTCGCAAAAGTCAACTCAATCATCCAGGGTGGCCCATCTCTGTTGCTTACTATCATTAGAATTTCAGGGGCCTTTATTGGGAAATGCCCAGTACAACCATCAGGAAGGACATTCCTCTGTTGTCTAGTCACAGTCTTACTCTGTTTGCATTTAGATGCCTAGGTTGACCCTTCCTGGTTCCCTCAATGGCCCCATTTTAGTTTTGCATTCTTATGTATCCTTGGGATAAGGACCCTTCTGTGAGTTTGGTTTGAACATTCATGGCAGTAACTCCCATCCTGCCTCCTGTCCTCCTTGAGATCAAATGCCTTTAACATGTAATAAAGCTAATTATATGTGATCAACATTTTTCTAGCTTATCTCTTGTAATTCCCACTATCCTTTGTCCCCCTAATCACAGCAGTGAAAGGTACCCTTTCCTCTACATTTTAATGAAATGCCTGGGAGATTACAGGTACATTCACACTGTTAGTGCAGCTGTTAATTAGTACAGCCATTCTGGAAATCCACTGGGAATTATTCAGGAAATATGAATCAACTATCTGATACCTTTGACCCAGTGTATAATGGGCACATACCCACTACACGGAGGCAAAATCAACAATCGATTTATCAACACTCATTTATTAAGCACTTGCTGAATGTGCCAAGCACTGTGTTAAGTACTTGGAATGCAAGGAAAAAATAAAAATAATTCCTGCCCTCAAGGAAGTTACATTCTAAGGGGGTGGGAGGCAGTGGGACAGCATATAAATGAGGATAGATATATAGTATATGAAATGAGTACCTTGGGGAAAGAATGCCCAGAGTCTTAAAGGAAATCAGAGATGCCTAAGAGTCAGAGGAGGTGGGAGTAGTTAGTGTAAAGATGTGTGTGAAGAACAACCAGTAAGCTAGGATCTGTGGCTAGATCCTAGAGAGAATGGTTGCAAATAAACTTTAAGGAAATGGCCCCCTAGGAAGGGGCCAGTCTGTAATAAGTTTTAAATGTCAAACAGAGGAGTTTATATTTGATCGTAGAGGTAATGGAGAGCCTTGGAGAGTAATGAGTAGGGGGCTTGGGGATGTGACTTGGTCAAGACTGAGTTTCTGAGTTTTCAGAAAATCACTCTAGCAGCTATGTAGAGGATGAATTAAGAACGGGGAAAGACTTAGCTGCTGTAAAATAAGATCCCTGCCCAGTGATCAACGAGTGGCCAAATAGCACTGGAGGAACTAAACACAATTAAGCTTGACATTCTTGATGCAAGTATGATCCTAAGAAACAAGTTGCCAATCAATGGAAGGATGGCCCATGGGTTCTTCTTAGGCAAATAAAGGAGTTGGCAGAACTCCTAAAGGAAAAAAAAAAGCCGCCTCATGGAATATTTGTATTGTAGGACCTATGACAAGAACTTGCAGAACGAATACCATAGAGCTCAGATTCTCATAATCTAGCCATGGCTTAGATTTTTACAATCTAGCCAATAGCTCACAGATGTTCAGATTCCTTAAGAGTCGGGCTAATATGGCAGATCTTTAATAAACCTTGTCTTTGGCTGAAAAAAAAAATGCCATAGAAATAATTGCAGCTTATGCACCGAAATTGTTGGAGAGAATGAAGAAGTGCAGAAATTCTATGAAGAAATAAAAAATACTCCCCAAATAATACAAGATAACCTCTAATAATAATTTCGCTGCAAAGATAGGAAAAAAGCATGGATATCAACAAATATGTTGGAAAACACAGACTCATAGACTACACAGAAGCCCCATAGCCATACATCACACTTTCTTCAAGTAAAGAATCAAGAGGTGCCTGATGTGGCAACCACTTAACAACATTAAAAAAAAACCCGAAATTGTATTTTAACAAGATAGGAAATGACTTATCACTGATGTGAAAATCATTCCCAAATGAACCATCAGTATATAGTCAGAGCACTAACTGAAATCAGTAGAAAGCTAAACGAATGAGAATGAGAAAAAGATATGGCATACAATTAAACCACCACCATTCTCACCCAACCATCTATTATTGATAAGCAAATGCTTAATAAATGCTTGTTAATTGATGACGAAAAGGGAATATGGGCAGAAGAGCATAGTTATGGACTATGACGAGTTTAACTAAGAACTTGCCCAAAGAAGACCAATAGACTAAAAAGTGCCTCAGTCAGCAAACTCTTGACTTACTTGCCAAGAGACATGGCAGCCACATGGCAATACTGCTTTACGATGCATAGTTGTTTTGTGAAAACTAACAGGATCAGTGGAGAGGGTTAAAGAAAGCTTAGTGAGAGAATCGGCTAATTCAAGTCATCCCGAAGACACTGCAAGACAAAACTGGAAAAGAAATGAAAAGAGTCTACTGATAGACTTTTTGTACTATCAAGGATAGTGAAGCTTCCATACTGGGACTCTAGACAAATCACAGCTCAAGATGCACTTAGAGAGCAGGTAGACATGGCACAAAAACAGAGGTGAAAAAGTGGAAGAAACAGCTTGATTAGACCACATTAGTACACAAAAGAGAACCATGCGGGAGTAGAAATAATTAAGAGGTTGTTGAAGGATTGATTTGTAAGCTCTCTGAAGAAGACAATGAAGGCACAGAAAAATCTCACCAATAGGCTTACTTTCTCATGTGTATAATTTTTCTGAGGGTAACTGATACCTACATGAAAGATATCATTAAAGAAGCTATTAGTAGGGAGGCCAGACGGTCCGAGAAATCACAGAATCATGAGAATTTTCTAACAGGAAGGGACTGGAGCAGTCATCTAATCCAGCTCATTCCCTAAAAGAAATTCCCCACATATCCAACAAATGGTCGTCTAGCCTG